AGGGCCGGCTGGAGACCAGGCTCCAGTGCTGACGCCGCTCCCTGTTGGTGCTGGGCCAGTGACCTCATTACCTGACCCGCTACTCCTCTATGAAGCAGAGATGACGGCCGTCCCACCACACACCGGCTAGCGGTGCCTGGCAGGGCTAAACCATGATCAGTGTCAGTGCCCTGCGCTGAGCACACCCCACCCTGAGGCAGCTCACCTCCCCAGGAAGAGCACGATGGGGTAGACGGTCACAATGGAGACGGCGAAGAGGACTCGGGCCGCAATGATGACCTCGTCGTCACCCGGGTAGGACATCAGGATGTCGGCAGAGACTTCAGACCCGAAGGTCAGGAAGCCATAAACGCCTGGGAGGGAGGACGGTGGGGCAGGGAGCTGATGAGAAAATGCTGCGCCCCTCCCAACTCTGTCTGACACACTCACTGGCTTCTACCACCTGGAAGGCTTTTCCTAGGAGCCGACAGAAGGTTCTGGAAGAGTTCTCTGTTCTGCCATTTCCCAAGGTGTTCCGGTCCTCAGCCTGCGGGAGACCCTGTTCCTCTGACTTAAAACTCCCCCTGGGCAAAGCTGTCGGAACCCTTCTTCCAAATAGCCCACCAGGGCCTGTTCATGGAGCGGGCATTGCAGGGGCACACAGCACTCTGCAGACGGTATCAGTGCCTTTCATGCCCGTCCTCCCACTCCGACAGCACCCACAGAAAGCCATTGGCAGCACACCCATTTTCCTGATGGGGAAGACCAAGACCCAAGGTGTCAACAATTGCCAGAATCACACAGACAGCACAGAACTGGGTACAGCGCACGAGGCCCCTTGCCTGCAACCCAGTGCTGCCTCTCACAGCCTGGCCACCTGCCCTGCCCTGAGACACCCATCTCTGGCCAAGAGCTATGGCCCACTTTAGTCTCATGATCCTACTGGCCCTTGACCTGAGCCACCTGGATGTGACTCGCAGTGACCAGGTCATGGCCCTCCTACGCAGGGGCCACAGCCTGACAGGGACCCCTCCCCCTGCTTGGGGAGAGGTCGCCCAGAAAGTTTTTTGATACCATGGTGTCCAAAGCACCAAGCACATTCTCGCAGCCCCAGGGCTTCCCCAGCCAGAGGCCCCCACAGGCAGACGAAAGAGCCAGCCTCGGGGCTGGAGGAAGGCGCCCCGAAGTCAGCCTGAGCCTGGACCTGGGCTGTGCCGTGCGCATGCAGTGACCTGGGCAGATCACAGCCCCTCTCTGAGTCACACTGCCGTCACCTTTGAAGACCCCCTGCGCACAGCACAGGTTTGTGAACGCCCGCATCCATCAAATCCATGAGAACATTTTGCAAACGGCTACCCAGACGTAATGCGATGATCACCATTGTTATCACTGTCCCATCAGGCAGCGGCAGGGAGGGGCTGTGGAGACAGCTGGGCCAGGGTTAGGGTCACAGCTTTGCCAGGTGAGTTTGGAGACCTTGGCCAACCCATGACCCTGCAGGCCCTGGGCCTTCTGAGCCTCAGTTTGCTCATCTATGAAATGGGGCCTTTCCTGGGGGGTGTTAAGGACTAAATAAGAGAAGGTACCCAAACTGCATAGCGCTGTGCTTTGCACACTGTAAGCTCTCTATACATACTCGTCATGATTGCCACTTCTCCTGCCAATCCCTACCCGGGTGCCCCAGGCAGGGCCTTACCTGTCAGCGAGTAGACAAGGCAGCAGGCCAGCAAGGACAGCACAGAGACCAGGGCCCAGTGGGACAGGCTCTGGTTGCGCATGCTGCAGTAGATGGAGACAGCAGCTTCGTGACACTAGAAGACAGGCGGGCGCAGTTGGTGGCTGGGCATTAGACTCACCCAGAACAATCTCAAAAGTGTTGGCCCCTTGCCTGCAACCCAATGCTGCCTCTCACAGCCTAGTTACCTGCCCTGCCCTGCCCTGAGACACCCATCTCTGGCCAAGAGCTATGGCTCACTTTAGTCTCATGATCCTACTGGCCCTCGACCTGAGCCACCTGGATGTGACTCTCAGTGACCAGGTCATGGCCCTCCTACGCAGGAGCCACAGCCTGACAGGGACCCCTCCCCCTGCTTGGGGGGAGGTCCACCGAATGTCCACCAGCAGTAAAAGGCTTAAGTAAACCACTAGATAGTCATTTGGTGGAATATTACATGGCAATGAAAAAGGATGTACACACTATGCACCTCAACAAGAAAGAACCTCGCAGCTTTAATGTCTTTGCAAAGGAAGCCAGACACGAAAGAACATTTTCCTGTACATGAAGTTCAAATACAAGCCAAACCAGCCCAAACAGGGGCCACCCAGGGCATCATAGGATATTGAGCAGCATCCCTGACCTCAACCCACTAGATGCCAGGAACACCTGCCCCCAGTGTTACAGCCAAAAATGTCTCCAGACAGTGCCAAATTTCCACTGGGGGAGGGGGGACACAGTCACCCCCATTGAGAACCACCACTTATGGTGACACAAGGCAGAACCGTGTGTGGGTGGGGTGGATGTCACTCGGGGGAAAATGTCACGAGGGAGCCGTCCATAGGAGCTGACAGTGTTCTCTGTCCTGACTGGGTGGTGGCTGCATGGGAGCACACATACTTATGATTCATATATTTTTGTATTATGAAATTCGTGCACTAGGGGGGTGGGGGCGCGGGGGGGGGTCCCCTCAGCCTGGCCTGCTCCCTCTCACAGTCCAGGAGCGCTCAGGGGATGTCCAACTGATGTAGGGAGTGGGCCTAAGCCATCAGTCGGATATCCTTAGCACTGCCGCGGAAGCAGGAGAGGCTCTCACCACCACCGCTGCACTGGCCAGCTGTGAGCCCGGCTTCTGGCTGAGCAGTGCTCCCACACTGGCTACCAGGGGGCAGCTCCTGCATTGAGTGTCTGCCCCCTGGTGGCCAGTGTGCATCATAGCAACTGGTTGTTCAGCAGTTCGGTCAATTTGCATATTAGCCTTTTATTGTATAGGATTGTCATAAATTTAAAGTACACCTAGCCCATGCAAGAGCCCACCTGTGCCGGGGACGCTGTTTCCCTGGGACAGTCCCGGGCAGCGGTGCCTTACAGGCAGCCAGGAGGCCCTGACGTGCAGGCAGGGCTGAGGGGTGCCGCTGTATCTGGATGTGCCCTGTGGGTTTGGAACCTTCCCAGGCTCCTGGGTCAGGGTTCCCACTGTCACGTCACATGCTCACTCACGTCTGGTCAAAACCAAACGTGCTTATCTACTCCTGCCCTCTCTCCAGGCCCAGGCCACTCCTCTCCCTCACTGAGCAAGGCCCCCTGTCCTTCTGAGTGGCCGCAGGGCCTTTTGTCCAGCCGTTTCCTCTCCCTGGGATTCTCTCCTGGCCTGGCAGCTCCTTCTCATGCCTTAGGAAAGCCTCTCAGCCAGGCCAAGTTCCACTCATGTGTTCCCAAACCCACGC